CAATCGTGACCCTCAAGAGAACAAAACCAAGATATCCAGCCTTCTTCTTCTTCCTCTTCTTCCTCTTCTTCTTCCTCTTCTTCTTCTTCTTCCTCTTCTTCTTCACTACCCTTCAGAAACATAGATGCTACTGTTGAAAATAAATACCCTGGGGGGCCCCCATGAGAATCACTGCGGCCTTCTCCGCCACCCCCACCACCTGCTGCTGCACTCGTCATATCGCCACCACCGCTCGGCGTTCTGTCGCCGCCTGCAACGCTTTTTGCTTCTGCTGAGCTCATGGGTGAATTACGCAGAGAGGAAAACACCCAGGAGTACATACAGACACCAGAAACACACGAAACGCCAGCAACGCGCCCGCCAGAAACCGCGGCGATCGTTCAAGTACGGAGAGAGAAACACGCAGAAAAAGAGAAAAAAAAAGAAAAAAAAAACGCCAGTGAATCGGCGGAGTGTTTCCAATGAAGAATTTCAACCATAACGCACTTTTAAGAAGAAGAAATGACGCAAAAAAAACGTGAATTTGCAAAAGCGATGCATTTAGTTGCGGTGTACAGACACCCGAAAGAAAGCGGCGACCGGCACCGTACAGCCGCCGCCGAAGACGAATCCTTCTTTCTTCCCTTTTATATAAACTCCCAAATCCACGAAAAACACTCTAATATAATACTTTCTCAATTCTTCTTCTCCCTTCACCGCCAAACATATCGTCGCTGCATGCAGCAGCAGCCCCGTCGCCGTTGCCTTCAAGCCCCCGCAGAGCAGCCGCCGCCGCCGCCGCCGGACCGCGATCTTTTTGTTTTTCTTTGAGAATTTCAATATTTATTCTTTTTTCAGAACTCAGAAACTTCAACTCGCCGTTTGATCCCCCACACTGCGGCCTCATCGACTCGGTAGTACCTTCAGGGGGTCAAGGGCCGGCAGCAGACGAACAGCTGCAGCAGCAGGTGTTGTTCTTTATAAACACAAAAACTAAACAATCACAGCTTTCCTGTTCTCGAAATATTATTTTTTATTTCCTTTTTTCACAAAAAGTTTTACTTTCTGCGGTTTGGCTATCAACCCGTTTCGGCCGCTACGCAGCTCAGGGCCTCAAAGAAACAGAAAGCTGCAGGGGGTTGTGCTTCTGCTTCCCAGCTGTACGTACACCCGAGAGCTGTACATACACCCGAAATGGCGCCTCCATCTACCGCCGACGCGGGCTCTGCTGCCGCAGGAGGTGAAGAGAAGAATAACAACAAAACTCAAAACACAGCAGAGGAAAAAGAAGTGACTGAGAAAGAACCAGCAACGGATACACCCGCCGGTGACAGCTCAGCTGCAGATACACCCGAAACGAATGCCCCCTCTACAGCAGCTGCCGATGATAAGGCTCCTGCTGCTGCATCATCTGCATCCAAAGATACAACAGCAGCAACAGCAACAACAGGAGCAGCAGCAGCAGCAGCAACAGCAGCAGCAAAAACAACAACAACAACAGCCCCTGCAGCAACAAAAGATGCATCTTCTGTATCAGCATCATCGAGCGCTGCCCCCGCTTCAGGTGTACAGACAGCTGAAAGTATAAAGAACAAAGCAGGGGGGGAGTTGCTAGCCAACGGTCTGCCGAAGATAGTGTATGATTTACCCAGTCCTTCACCAGGGGCCCCCATGGGGGCCCCCAAGGGGGCCCCCTCATCAGGTGTATCGTGTGGGGGCCCTACAAAGCTGCCAAAAGTATATCTGGATGCCGCTGATTCACACTTAGATTTAGAGATAGACGAGAAGAACCCACTGCATGCAACTTGCATGCACACGGGGGGGTTTCAGTATATGTGGAAAGGTGTAAGAGCAACGCATGGAGTTCGAGGAAAAGGAAAATTTTATTTTGAAGTAAAAGTTACACAGAAACCCGCGCCTGTTGTTATGCCTGATACACCCGCAAACACACAACATGTCTGCAGAGTTGGCGTCAGTCAGCCACTCACCAGTCTGCATCTCGGTGAGTATATATATATATATATATATATATGTTTGTATATATGTATGTGTTTGTGTATATGTATGTTTTTGTGTATATGTATGTGTTTGTATATATGTGTGTGTTTGTATATTTGTATAGATTTATATTGTATGCGTGGAGAGCTATCTGTATTTTTTTTTCGCTGTGAATTGCATTATTTTATTTTATTTTATTTTATTTTTT